CAGTGCAAAAGATAAGGCCGAAGCATTCGCAGCAATCTTCAGTCGAAAGTGCCGAGTGGATGATCCATCTTGGCCTCCTCCAGTAATACCCAGCATTAAAGACACCAGTTTTTGGCCAATTCCATTCACTCCACATGATAGCAAAGAAAATGGTTGGAGAGACTAGATAGTCAAAGCCTATGGACCCTGACAACATTCTGGCAATTGTACTGTAGACTTGTGCTCCAGAACTTGCCGCTCTCCTAGCCAAGCTCTTCCAGCACAGTTACAACAGTACGCAACAATGTGGAAAATTGCCCATGTATTCCTGTACGTAAAAAGCAGAACAATTCCAACCCAGCCAATTACCTCTTCATCAGTTTACTCTCCATTATCAGTAAAGTGACGGAAAAGTGTCATCAACAGCGCTATCAAGTGGCACCTGCTCAGCAATGCCCAGGGTTCTACCAGGGTCACTCAGTGCCTGACCTTATTACAGCCTGGGTTCAAAACATGGAGAAAAATAAAAAATGAGCTGAATTCCAGAGGTGAAATGAGAGTGACAGCCCTTAACATCAAGGTCACATTCGACAAACGGTGGCATCAAGGAGCCCTAGCAAAACTAGAATATAGAAATTAGGGGGCAAACTCTGTTGCTTGGAGTTATACCCGGCTCATAGGAAGATAGTTTGTCTTTGTTAGATGTCAGTAATCTCAGCTCCAGGACATCTCTGCAGGAGTTCCTCAGGGTGGTGACCTCAGCCCAATCATCTTAAACTGTTTCATCAATGACCTTCCCTCCACGATATGGTCAGAAGTGGGGATATTCACCAACGATTGCACAAAGTTCAGTACCATTCGCGATTCCTCAGATATTGAAGCAGTCAATGTTCAAACGCAACAAGACCTGGACAATATTCATGCATGGGCTGACAAGTAACATTCACAATACACAAACACCAGACAATGACCATCACCAATACGAGACAATCCAACCACTATCCCTTGGCATGCAATGTATTACCATCACGGAGTTCCCCCACCATCAACATCCTGGGGTTATCATTGAACAGAAACTCAATTGGACTCATCACAAACACATTGGCTACAAAAGCAAATCAGAAGCCAGAAACACTGTGGTGAGTAACTCACCTCCTGACTCCCCACAGCCTGTCTGTCATGTGCAAGGCACAAGTCAGGAGTGTGTGGAATACTCCCCATTTGCCTGGATGAATGCTGTTCCAACAACATTGAAGCAGCTTGACACCATCAGGACAAAGCTGTCCGCTTGATTGGCACTGCATCCACAAGGATCCACTCCCTCCACCATCGAAGTTCACATCGCTGTGATTGAGCAATCTATAAGATGCGCTGCAGAAATTCACCCAAAGATCCTCAGGCAGCACCTGTCAGGCCCACGACCACTTCCATCCAGAAGGACAAGGGCAGCAGCTAAATGTGAACACACCATCAGCAAGTCCCCTTCCAAGCCACTCACCATCCTGATTTGGAAATATATCACCGTTCCTTCATTGTTGCTGGGTAGAAATCCTGGCTTTCTCTCCATAAAAGCATTATGCATCTACCTACAGCAGTTCAAGAAGGCAGCTCACTACCACCTTCTCAAGGGCAAATCAGGAAAGGCAACAAATGCCGGCCAGTCAGCGATGCCCACATTCCACAAGAGAATTTTAAAAAGCTCACTCGTATTGCTAAGCCCATTCTAATGGCAAGTTGCGAATGCACTTCAACTGTCCACTTCTGGGATGTCTTCTTGTTCCCGAGAGAGGAAGGGAACTTCTCCAAAAAGACATTTTCATAATCAGGGTGTACTGAGCTAGGTGGAGAGGTAACCAAGAAGAGTACCAACAAAATCAAATTACTGCAAACTTTGTTTTGACCAGCACCGAATGAACAAGCACTCTCAATAAATCGACAAAAATTATACACCTTTACTGAAGTTTACTGTATTATCACAATATCTGCAATGTCCAAATAGTCAGTTGAGGATGTAACTGAGATGTTTCTGTTGTTAAATTTTTATTGAAATTATTACTTAAGTGATTTATGCTGTAAATGAAGAATATCAGTGACATATATACCCCCTGCATACATTTCTACACTGATTCTGTGGACCTCTTGATCAGTGGGAATATTTGATCACCTGGTAGGTCCCATAGGTGCCAGTTAATAAAAAGTTTCTGTACTTTTTTAAAAAAGTAATTTTATCCTCAGTACTCAGTGTTAGAATGAAAATACATTTCTTCTCAAATCGAGTCCAAGATACTACAAGTGTTTTTGAAATCAACAAGACTACAGTTGCCTTTTAGAATAATTAACACATAGTTACATTAAAAAAAGACACCTGCTTATTTGCATTGGCTGGTTCACCAGTTTGACTACTCCACACATTAAGCAATAATGCATCACACCAGCACAGAAATTAATGCACTGAGAAGCTGCACTTCAACTAAAGCAACAGTTCAGCAAATAGTATAAGCATGAGAAGGCAAGGAATAAACAACTTTTAACAGCATGAACTTGGAGGATGGGACCTTGAGTGAGTTTGCTATGCAGTTCCTGGATATAAAGCGATGAGAAAATATAATTGTGTGAAGCATGTTAAAACATTTGAGATTTTATGAAGTATCTGATTTAATCAATCATACATTATTGCATTGTTTATTAAAATGTGCCTTTTTAGCAGAAACAAACAAATGCTAATTTTAGCAGTATAAATATTTCTCAGCCTTGGCTTTAAATAGATGCAGTTGGTTACATGCTAAGGAAAGTATAACAGAACAAACAAGTATATTGTATTAAATGAATTCAGCAGATGCTGGCGTAGCACAAAGAACAAGATTCAAGTAACACACAGAGCATTACTTTCATCATTAACATTTACAGCTTTTCTGCCCCCTCAACTGCTATATCCCTTCCAGTGTTACCTGTATTTAGCCATTCAGAAGATCAAACTTAAGGGTGGAGAGAGGTCAGAGTTTGTTAGAATAGCAAGGGTAAAAAAGAAAACTAAGTCTGAGTTGATAATCAAGAGTGATAGGGAGCTGCTCCACTCGACCTACAATACTGGCATCTACCCAGCAATGTGGAAAATTGTCCAGATATGTCTTGTCAATAGCAAGATAAATCCAACCCAACCAACCAGTGTCCTACCAATCTACTCTCAATCATCAAAGCAATGAAAGGGGTCATCCATAGTGCTGTCAAGCAGCACTTGCAAAAGAATAACCCTTTCGCTAATGCTCAGTTTGGACTAAGTCTTTAAGAGAATAACAGGAAAAAACAGTCGATAAAGATAAACTTTTTGCACTGGTTGGGGAACTAGGGAGCACAATTTAAAAGTTAGGGGCAAACCATTCAGGGGAGATGTTAGGAAGCACTTCTACACACAAAGGGTGTTAGATGTTTGGAACTCTCTTCCAGAAATGGCAGTGGATGCTGGTTCACTTACTAGTTTTAAATCTGAGACAGACTTTATTTTTGTTAAGCAAATGTATTAAATGATATGAGCTAACAGCAGGTATTTGCAGTTAAGCTACAGATCAGCCATGATCTCACTGAAAAGTGGAACAGTCTCAAGGAGCTGAATGGCCTACTTCTGTTCCTATTGTTCCATGGGGATCACCGAGCTCCTGGTGTTATCACTGCCTTAGTCCTAACATGGACAAAAAAGTTGAACTCCAAAGAGGAGGACAAGGTCAGAAATTACATGACACCAGGTTATAGTCCAACAGGTTTATTTGAAAACACAAGCTTTCAGAGCCTCACTCCTCCTTCAGGTGTTATTGACAGACACAGAATTTATAAGTAAAAGATCAAAAGGACACACCGCTGATGAGGATGTATTAAACAAACCTAAGATACTGTTAAATCTTTAATCAGTTAGAAAGTTTTAATTGATTAATACGTATTTGTAAATCCCCAAATTCCTTTCATGTCACAGTCCTGAGAGAACTAAAGATTTTATCAGTGTAAAGAAGAGATGACATTTTAGATCAGACAATGCAGGTTAGGTGTGAAGCCTTGTTTAGAATCTGTTTGTGTTTTGGTTTGGAGTCAGACTGGTTTTACTTCTAAAGTAGGAATTTATAAAATGCCACATTGACTGTCTATGCTTTGTGAACAAAATAGAATGTATCTGCAAATACAAATTCACCCCATAGATTTGTGTGTGTGTGCTTGCGCACGGAGAGAGAGAGAGAGACACGAATGTGTGCATGTGAGGGAGCGAGAGAACGCACGAGTGTGCATAGTGTGGTGAGGTCACCTGCAGTGCAACATAAA